TACACATAAAATTAACCATCACAAGAACCATTGACTTCTGTTGTGGTTATTGCTATGGTTGCCTTTAAACCTACCAATTTGTTATTTTTATTCTATTTGTCCTATCAGTTCTTTGTTCTCTTTTTCCTTTTTATCTGCCTTCTTCGGATTTGTTGGATATATTTTTTGTGATTCTATTTTATCTCCTTTGTTAAGACACTAGCTATAACTTTGTTGTTTTCCTATTGGTTTCTTTAAGATTTACACAGTGGTCCTCAACCAGGGGCAGTTTTGCCTCCCACAGGATTTTTTGGCAAAGTCTGAGACATTTTTGACAAAACTGAGCAAGTGCTACTGGCATCTAGTACAGAGGCTGGGTTGCTACAAAAATCTTAAAACGCAAACTACACCTCCCCCTTGAAAGAGTTGTCCAACGCAAAATGTGAATAGTTCTGAGGTTAAATTCTGGTTTATACTATAATTCTTTAACTTATTATAACCTGCTTTTAAGTAGTATTATACCTCTTCACATATAGTATAAATACTTTACAACATATACCTCCATTTTACCCTCCTGGCATTTGTATTATTGTTGTCCTACCTTTTATTTCTACATATATTATAAGCTCCACATAAATTATTAGTTTTGCTTTAGAGAGTCACTTTTTTTCTGGCTGTGCCACGCAGCTTGTGGGATCTTCGTTCCCCGTCGAGGGATTGAACCCAGGCCCTTGGCAGTGAAAGCGTGGTGTCCTAATCACTGGACTGCCAGGGAACTCCCGAGAGTCAGTTATTTTTAAAGACTTTCTTTTTAATAAAAGTTTTTTATATTTAACTACATTTTTATAATCCTGAGTCTCTTCATTCTTCTGTATAGGTCCAGATTTCCATGTGGTATCATTTTCCTTCTGCCTGAAGGACTGACTTCAGCATTTCTTATAGTGCAGGATTGCTGCTGATAAATTCTTTCAGTTTCTGTTTGTGTGAGAGTCTTTATTTTACCTTTCTCTTTGAAAGATACTTTTGCTGGACATACAATTCTAAGTTGATAGTTTTTTTTTTTTAATTACTTGAAAAATGTTGCTCCACTGTCATTTTTTGTGCCCTGTTTTTGACAAGAAAACATTCCTCTCACTGATGCTTTTACATGGTGTGCCTTTTTTCTCTGGCTATGGTGTAAGATTTTTTGAGAAATCTGATAATGATGTACCTTGGTATAGTTTTCTTCATGTTTCACGTGCTTCAGGTTCTTGAGATTATTTACTCTATCAGATTATAGTTTTCATCACTTTTGGAAAATATTCAGCTATTATTTCTTCAAATATTTTTTTCTGTCCCCTCTCATCTTCTCTCTGTCTTTTGCAGTCTCCAATAACATATATATTCAGCTGGTTGAAGTTGCTCACTGATGCATACGACATGTTTTGTTTTTCTTTATCCCCCGTCCATGTTTCATTTTGGGTAGTTTCTATTGCCGTATTTTCAGGCTTACTTATCTTTTCTTCTGCAGTGTCTGATCTGCTCTTAATCCTATTCAGTGTATTTTTTAACTCAAACATTGTATTTTTCATCTCTAGAGAGGTTTTTTTGGTTCTTTTTTATATCTACTATGTCTCTACTTAACGTGTTCAATTATTTGTTAGATTTTTGAACATATGTATACAGATATAAAAAGCATTTTGAGGGCTTCCCTGGTGGTGCAGTGGTTGAGAGTCCAACTGCTGATGCAGGGGACATGGGTTCGTGCCCCAGTCCAGGAAGATCCCACATGCCACAGAGCGTCTGGGCCTGTGAGCCATGGCCGCTGAGCCTGCGCGTCCGGAGCCTGTGCTCTGCAATGGGAGAGGCCACAACAGTGAGAGGCCCACGTACCAAAAAAAAAAAAAAAAAGCATTTTGACATCCTTGCCTGCTATTACAAACATTTATGTTAGTTCTTTGTCCATTTTGAGTGAATGATTTTTCTTCTCGTTATGATCATTTTTTTTTCTGCTACTTTGCACTACTGATTTTTTTTTAATGAATTTCAGTCATTGTGAATTTTACCTTCTTGGTTATTGGATATTTTTATGTTTTTGTAAATATTCTTGAGCTTTTTTTTGGAGATGCAGCTAGGTAACGTTGAAACAGTTTGATCTTTTCAAGGCTTGCTTTTAAGGTTTGTTAAGTGAGACCAGGGCAGCATAATTTTGGAGCATAATTTTGCCCCATTACTAAGGCAATATCCTTTTGAGTACTCTACCTTATGCCTCGTTTATTTCAGGGTTTTAAAAAAAATTCTAGCTAGTGGTAAGATGAACCATGCCTGGCTTTGTGTGAGCCTGGCATGTTTTCCCCCTGATCCTTTCAGGTGGTTCCTCCCCACTTTGTGTTCTTCCTCATACACATGCTCTCTTCAATAAAAGGGATTGTTAGTTTTGTTGCTGAAGTAACTCAGGTAAGATTCCTAATGACAAACAGTTGGCTTTGATCAGAAGGGTAGAGCGTAATATAATTTATGTTATATCCTTAAAAGCAAGAAAAGTTAAATAATACTGATGGAACTTATATATACAGACTGTATGTTTAAATTTAAATTAGGCTGAAAAATTCAGAGTTTATTATATTTTATTGTTTTCTACAACCAATACTCTATAGTGAAGTCACATACCTCTGTACTCCTCAGTTTCCCCATTTGTAATGGCTGTGTCAGTGCATATAAGTGATGATCTTGTAGGGAGCAATGGGTTTATTTCACATACAGTACTTAGATTTTAATGTAGTCTATAACTGTACTTATGGTTCTTGACTGACATTTAATAGCATAGATACTCAATTGTGTATAATGCAAAGAAATATTCAACTCTACTTATAAATTCACAATTGATAGGTGCTGAAAAACTATTTATTTAAACGCTATAGGTAGTACAAAAATCTTTGTCTTAATAGGAGCATGCACTGACATAAAACATAAAAGTAGAGCTTTTTCAGATTTTTCTATAAATTATTGTTGGTTTTTGATACTTGTTATTAACAAAGGAGATTTTACTCTACTTTTAGAAATTAAGAATGATTTCTCACTTTCAAAATCTCACAAAATTAATTGGGGTGTGTGTGTGTGTGTGTGTGTGTGTGTTTCATTTCTAGAGAGTAAACTTAGGAAAATAAATTTGTCACTCATCTAAAGAACTAAATTATTTCATTCCTGGATCTCATTACTTTTAGTCTCTTATGAAGCTTCCTGTTAATTTAGAAAGTGGTAATAGAAGGCATAAGCTTCATAAAAATTTTTAATGAGACATTTTGGACATTTTTCAAATATCATCTCATCATGTTTCAAAAAATACTCAGTAAGGGTAACTCAACACTGATGAGGACTCTTCAAATCTTAGGAATATTTTATTCCTAAGAACAAAGTTCTCCTTTGAAAAGTAGACCTTTGAAATTAGCATGCTAGTACTGTGTTTGGATTAGGCATTGTCTTGAGTGTAGTCTTTGATGAAATGAAAATACTCTGTGGAATAAGCCTTGGCCAAAGGATCATCTGCAGCATTTGTAATAGATGTCATTATTTAATAGAATATTTGTGATAATAATTATAATTATCTAGATTCTCTTTTATTTTTTAAAATTTTTATTGAAGTATAATTGATTTACAATGTTGTGTTAGTTTCTAGTGTATAGCAAAGTGATTCAGTTTTATATATATATATATATATATATTCTTTTTTAGATTCTTTTCCATTATAGGTTATTACAAGATATTGAGTATAGTTCCCTGTGCTATACAGTAGGTCTTTGTTGGTTATCTATTTTATATACAGTAGTGTGTATATGTTAATCCCAAACTCATAATTTATCCCCCCTCCTTTCCCCTTTGGTAACTGTAAGTTTGTTTTCTATGTCTGTGAGTCTATTTCTGTTTTGTAAATAAGTTCATTTGTATCAGTTTTTTAGATTCCACATCTAAGCAATATCATATGATATTTGTTGTTCTCTGTCTGCCTTACTTCACTTAGAATGATCATCTCTAGGCCCATCCATGTTGCTGCATATGGCATTATTTCTTTCTTTTTTATGGCTGAGTAATATTCCATTGTATGTATATACCACATCTTCTTCATCCATTCATCTGTCATTGTACACTTAGGTTGCTTCCATGTCTTGGCTATTGTAAATAGTGCTGCAATGAACATTTGGGTGCACATATCTTTTTGAATTAGAGTTTTCTTCAGATATATGCCCAGGAGTGAAATTGATGGATCATATGGTAACTCTGTTTTTAGTTTTTTAAGGAACCTTCATACAGTTCTCCATAGTGGCTGTACCAATTTACATTCCCATCAACAGTGTAGGAGGGTTCCTTTTTCTCCACACCCCCTCCAGCATTTATTATTTGTAGACTTTTTGATGATGGCTATTCTGACCAGTGTGAGGTGATACCTCATTGTAGTTTTGATTTGCCTTTCTCTAATAATTAGTGATGTTGAACATCTTTTTATGTGCCTCTTAGCCATCTGTATGTCTTTGGAGAAACGTCTATTTAGAACTTCTGCCCATTTTTTGATTTTTTTTTTATATAGAGCTGTGTGAGCTGTTTATATATTTTGGAAATTAATCGCTTGTCAGTCGCATCATTTTCAAATATTTTCTCCCATTCCATAGCTTATCTTTTCATTTTGTTTATGGTTTCTTTTGCTGTGCAAAAAAAGCTTTTCAGTTTAATTATGTCCCATTTGTTTATTTTTTTTATTTCCATTACTCTAGGAGGTGGGTCCAAAAAAATATTGCTGTGATTTATGTCAGAGAGTGTTCTGCCTATGTTTTCCTCTAGGATTTTTATAGTATCCAACCTTACATTTAGGTCTTTAATCCATTTTGAGTTTATTTCTGCATATGGTGTTAAAGATTATGTTTTTAATCAGTGGAGTAGACCAAAACATAGAGCTTTTTTTACCATTCAGTTTACTGGAAGTCATTCTAATTATCTCTTTTATTTCCTCTTTATCCATCCCCTGCATCCCTATCTTTTTCCACTCATAGCTCTATGCCATCCCTTGGTTTCTCACCATGTTTACTCGTAAGTATCATTTTCCCTTTTCTTTCAATATTGTATTAGCAAAAGAACAGCTTCATTCTTCCCCAGTATATTATAGTTACAATAATACTAAGCAGATTTAATTACATGAGCATGCTTATGTAACTCTAAGGTAATATAGTTGGGTAGAAATTTTTTTCAATTGTTCTGACTACTAAATATCAAAAAGGTTGTTCTATAAGATGAAAACCTATCTGATATATCATGACATTCATAAAATCTCTGCCCTCTATTGAAAAATAAATTAATATTAACTATAGTATTTACATAGAGTTCTGGAAGGCAACTGTTACAACCAAATCAGACTCAATTTTTAGAGATTGTCTAATAACTAATACTTTTGTTATTTCCTATCCTAGAATTCCTCTAGAAATAAACAGTTTATGTGAATATGTAATACTTTAATCAGTTACAGATATTAATACAGTGGATATTCTGCTTAAATATGTACATTTGATTAATGGAATACAATATTTGAAGTAGATCTGTATGCACTGGCCTGGAAAGATGTTCAGAGTATTGATAAATGAAAAAAAGAAAGTTTCCAAAAATAAAAAATTGCTAATCAGATTTTTTTATGGGAATTTCAAAAAGCAGTTTTTAGAGTGCATAATAGAAATATAATGATACTGAATCTATATCAATACTAAAATTCTTCTAAGTATATAAACTTGTGAGAATAATATGACCTGAAAATTCTAGGAAGAAACAGAATGAATGTAACAGCTATACCAAGATTGATAGTGGTGGCTAGAAAATGTCATCTATTTGATCAATCTGATTATCAGTTTTTTAAGATGCCTTAGGAAGCAGTAAATCTACAAAGCCAAATATGCATTTTACAAAAAACAGTTTGCCAATATTTGTTCTGTAATAGTTTTGACCATAAGGGAATTACCATGTCTAGTAAAGTAGCTTGTTGTTGTTTTAATTTTTTATTTTTAATCTCAATTAATTAATTTATATTTGTCATTTTACAGATGTATTTCCACTGCACAAAATTTTCCACCTCTGGGATACCCTACTGCTTGGGAATTCCTCCTTCCCATTCTGTATCGGAGTAGCAATTCTTCAGCAGCTGCGTGACCGGCTTTTGTCTAATGGCTTTAATGAGTGCATTCTTCTCTTCTCTGATTTACCAGGTATAGATATATATAAATGGAATTACTAAGTGAAATTTAATTATAGGATAATGAGACATTCTTATAGCAATTTGCAAAAATAATCGTACAAGCCTTCAGAATCTCTTCTGCTTGAGCCTCATCATCCATCTCTGAATTATCTCCCTTGCATAGTACCTGTTCTGCTGGCCCAGCATTGTAGATATAAAACTGGGTCATAATAGTTCACTATCATTTACTTTCATGTCAGTGATGCCATCAAAAAGGTAAAGGGCAGGGCGGTGGGGGCGGGTGGGGTGACACATTTGCCTTGTTTAGGATAGGCCTATTTATCTCCAACTGATAGAGAGTAAATAAAGGCCACTTGGGAAGGGGTTTGAGAATTTTATACAGAGATGTAATTCACATGGAACTTTGCTCTCTCCTATCCATAGCTGCTTGCTAACAGTTTGACAGTTTGAGGAAAGGAGAAACCCTGTCCTCTTGGGAGAGCAAGTCACACTCCAGGGAAATTCCATTTATACAATGCAGGATAGTAAGTCAAGCTATATATTGTATTCATAAGTGAGGAGCTTGTAAGTTTAGGAGTTGAATGCTTAAGTGTAGAAATATTGAATGTAACTATGGTTTAAGCTTTGATGCTTTCGCTGAAAAGATGAAAGTAATATGGTTACATAGGATATAACAATCTGTGGAAGAAAAAACTAAACTACATTTTTGTGGAAACCAAAATGTTTTTCAAGTAGAAAAATTCTGCTTTCTTCAAATAGCATTTCATTGGCTCCAACCCTTCTATGTGTTTATTGCTGTTCTCCATATTTTCAGGCAGCCACAAGTGATTGCTGAAAATAAACACACTTAAAATTATCCAAGAGATAAATTTGTCTAAAAATCAAAGTATAAAAGAAAAGTACCTTAATGCTATATATTTAATAAGTACTCTCAAAAGAAATAAGAAACCTGATGCCTAGAAATAGAGACACAGATGCAGAGAACAAACATATGGACACCAAGGGGGGAAAGTGGCGGGGGGGGGGTGGTGGTGGTGGTGGGATGAATTGGGAGATTGGGATTGACATGTATACACTAATATGTATAAAATAGGTAACTAATAAGAACCTGCTGTATAAAAACTAAATAAAATAAAATTCAAAAAAAAAGCCAACTGTGAGGACTTACACTACAATAAACCTTCAAAGGGATACAAGCTTTCAGTTATAAGATGAATAAGTTCTGAGGATCTAAAAGACAACATGGTGACAGTAGTTAATAATACTGTATTGTATGCTTGAAATTTGCTAAGAGTAAATCTTAAGCATTCTTCCCACAAAACAAAAATAGTAACTATGTGAGGTGATAACTGTGTTAAGTTAATGTGATTGTGATAATAATTCCACAAAGTATATGCATATCAAATCATCCTGTTGTACATTTTAAATATGTACAATTCTTTATGTCAATAATGCTGGAGGAAAAACTAAAAAAAAAAAAAAGAAGAGAAAAGAAACCTGCTGCCTACCCCAATTTTTATTTTTAGTGGATTATCTCTACCTGGTAGTTATCATCTTTCTGTTGTTGAAAATCTTCATCCTTTTGGGGAAAATAATAGCAAAAATTATTGGATTTATTTTAAAACTTCTACTTCCCCTTTCCCCCCAAATTAAAAGTATTCACCATCAGCTTTCTAACTTATCAAACTTTAATTAAAGTTAATTATTTCTTGTATCAACAAATAGTAGTTTAGTTCTTATGTTTTTTTTTCTGGGAGATTCTTTATGGAAATCAAGTTCTCTCTCTTTTTTTCCTATTGGTGTTGAACAGTTACAGAAAAGCTAGTTTTGCAAACTACAAATACTGTCTGTACCGTGCAGATATTTTCCTGTTGTTTCTAAATTGCCAAAGTAAGCAGAGGATGATTGATTAGAATTAAAAGAATTTTTCTGGTCAGGTCTAAAAAATATATGTTAGGAATGATGATTGTGCATTTTCAAGTAAAGTAAATTTAATACCTTTCCAATTTTGTGCATAAGTATTCCAGTTATACACTAGTGAAGGAATCTGTTTTCATATTGTATAGGCAGATTAGTGGTAATTCTGCTTGTACATTAGAATAAAGTCATTATTTCTGAAATCAGAAAGTAAGAGTATATGTTTGTTAGAACTGACTCATTGAAAAGGTAAACACTACTTACTTTTGAAAGTAGTGTGCCTCTATTGATGTGAATTGCATTGATCCTCAGTGCCATTATTCTGGCTCATCATTTACTTGGTCACTATATGATTCCAGCTGGGGAAGAAAAAAGTTTATAAGAAAAATGTGACTTAAGAAAAAAGAAGGGTGGAGGGGTTAAATGTAAACTTTGCCTTTAAGTACACCTGTGTTTCCTTTTATTTTTAATCACAGTGCACTTATTTGGGATGTCTTTCCTAATTAGATCTAATAGATGTCTTTTTTCATCGTGTTGAGCCCACTAACTGTACTTGATGCTTGAAGGAACTGGGAAGTGGTCATGGGAAGTCCTAAAAAGTGAATCCAGATTAATATACACACAAACACACTGAATGCGCCTTTTCTAAGCAAAATATTATGTGACATAAGCTTGGAACATGTTTGAAAGAAAGAAGAAAACATTTTTTAAGTCTACAAAATGAGAAGAGATAGGCTAACTCCATATTTCACCTTAATTCTTGAGATAGACTTTGTAGATAAAGATAGGTTAGGATTAAACATTAATTTGAATTTATTAAATATATTGTGCTTTACTGAAATCCCCACTTAACTGAGTTTAAAAGCATAAGTAATCAATCAGAACAAATTTAACTAAATTCTTTGCTGAAGCAGATTAGCAAATTCACTGTTCAGAACATCTATTGACAGTAATATGATGGAATCACCATCCAGTTGGTAACCTTGTAAACAAAATAACCTCGCATTTTTTTTTAAGTTGTCCCTTTCTAGTTGTTTCTTTCTACAAAGAGGGGCCCAATAGCCTAGTGGTTAAGAGCATGGAATGTGGAGCCAGATAACCTGGGTTTTAGGTCCTAGCTCTACCCCTTACAGTTGTGTGACCTTAGGGACATGACTTAACCTCTTTGTATCTGTTTCCTTAACCCTGCTTGTATGAAAATGATAATTGTACCTACCTAATAGGATTGTTGTGCTAAATAAATCAGTACAACTTAGAGCAGTGCCTGGCAAAGAGCAAGTGCTATGTAAGTGATTATTATTATTAATGTTATTACCATCATCATCATTATTATGATTTTCCTCACTTTTTCCTTTCTATCATGACTGCTTTCCTATTGGTAAAATAAATGAAGCAATCACCCCATTTGGCTTTTTCTATGTATTATTGAGGTAGCTATCAATCATATAGATTTCCTTATTAGCAGAAGCAATGGAGAATTACCTAAGAAGTCAAGTAAGCCTTCAATATATATATATGTATGTATATTATGACTAAGAAGAACATCTCTTTTCATTGCTCAGAGACAACATAGTATAGTAGATAGCACAGTCTTTGGAGTCAAGACATACGGGTTTGAGTCCTAATTGCACCACTCACTACCTGTGTGAATTGGGAAACTTTCAGTATGGTTCTGCCACTGAAAAGAGTGAACTGTAGAGTGAAATAGACATGAGTTTACTTCCCAGCTCTGGCATATAGTAGCTGTGTGAACCTGGACAAGTTGTTAACCTCACTGGAAAGAGAATCCTATACATTATGAAAGTTTCAGTGAAATGGAGATAAAAATATCTGCTTTAGTGTTAGGGTGAGCATGAAAGATAATATGCATAATGTACCTGACGCAAAACCTGGTACCAAATATGCATAACTATTTCTTAAAGTACATGTAGCATGTACTTTATTTTATGTATTTTATTTTATGTATTTTAAACATGCAAAGAATGTGTAACATTCAATCTTTGTAAGTTCCCTCTCCTTTCTTCCTCCTTTTCTTAACTTCATACTAACCCTTTAGCTCTTGAAGAGAGAACACAGCAGAAAGGCATTATTATTTTTGCCAAAAACTGCTTCCAACTTCAGTTCCCTTTAGTAAATGGTATAGTGTGATGTCACATTACAAAGAAGTACAAGTGGTGCTAGAAAATTTTGCTGAAAGTTCTTGACATGTATTGGTTTGTGTGTCATTTCAGTACTAAAGGAAATAACCATGAGAGCAGTCTATTTGGCATTTCTCATACAATCTCAAAATAGTGGTAGGGTATTTTGGAAGAAATACTGGGTTTTTCATAGCGCCATCCAACACTGGATGTTGGCTACAGTTTCCAAGGTTACCACCTTGTAAGCCCAACTATAGGATGAGGTCCGTCATCCTTCAGCCTGTTCTCTGATATGATTCTGCTAGAGTGTCCATCTGGCTGACTTAAAAAAAAAATTTTTTTGAGGATACACCCAAACAGTATTCAAGATGAGTATGATAATCTGAATAAAACCAAAATGGTAATAATTTTAGAGTGGATTTATAATGGCTGAGATGTTTAAATGCTTTTTTGTTTTGTTGGTGTATTTCCTTTGTACAGTTGAAAATTAATTCAATATATTTATGTCATTATGGTTGAAATAAATTCTTAGAATGCATATCTGTATACCTCTGGACATCTTCAAAGATAGGAATTTTTTGAAGTAGGAAAGAAGTTTTTCTTAGAGAACCTATACAAAGAAATTGGTAAATCTGTGTGGAAGAACGCTTAATTTATTCTCAGAGATTAAAATAGTTACTTTACCATTAAAAGAAAAAAATACGTACATATAAACTATTTTTGAAGGAAATACTGAGTATATTGAAGGGACTTGAGCATAGGAAAAGTAAATCCTTTTTGCAGGAAGAAATCAACAGTTGGCTGAAACATCTTAGTTGTGTGATGTATGTTTTATTACAGAAGCTTAATTAAAAGAAAACGTTTTAAATAAAATTTTAAGGTGTTATCTCAATATTACCTACATACTTTACAATAGAATTCATTTTCAACACATACATGAAAAATACCAGTAGTA